TGAAATATAACTCGAAGGTTATATATCTTTCAATAAAAAAAATTTGATCTCGCGCTCTTGTAGTGCCCGTTAACATTTGTCTCTAATTGAATTTAGCAAGTAGTGAAGATACGTAGTCGAAAGACCAGACAATCTATCGACTCTGCTTCAGTATCTAACAAAACTAGTGGGCAGTAGAGAGACCACTGCTCTACACAATGGTAGGGGTTGGCACACACAGTATTTTTGAATTTATAGTGAAATATAGTCAGAATAAAGTAATTGTTTTCAAAATAAAAATTATATACAGTACACATAGTTAATAATAATATAAAGTATATTACAAAAAAAGTTTAAAAATTAATGTAATTTTGATTTAAAGAACGTATCAAGTTTTCTACTCATCAAAACAGGACAAAAGTATTGGCATAATTGTAGATAATTCTAAAAATATATTACAATTTATATTTTGTTGTGAATTCCAGGTTCTTAAAACTCTGGCAATGAATGCACTAGTTTTTGCGCATTTCAGAGGAAATTTTTCCCCATTATTCAAGTAGTCTTTGAAATTATCTAAGTTCAATATCTCTTATTTTCTAACTCTATCCCGTCAAGTTTTTCCGTAAATATTCAATAGGATTCAAATCTGGAGATTGTGGGGGGACGTTTCAGTGTGATATAGTCGTCATTGACGGACAATATGGGCCAAATGTTTATGGTCATTGTCCTGCTGAAAGTAAAATCCATCGTCCAACTTTACTGAAGAATATTTAAATACAGTAATACCCCGAACTTACGCGATAGGTGGGACAGAGCGGTATCCGCGTAAGTCGGAGTATAATTTCGCATATAAATACATACAAATAATTTTTAATTGGGGCCGGAGACTAAAGAAAGCAATAATTTAGAAAAAATGTTTAATAAAATCTTAGATAATACATATGTATAACAAATTAGGCCTATATTATTTTACAATTTTTCACATTTACTTGATTATTACGCCATAATTTTAACATTGTTTCCATCTCAGCGATAATACTGTGATGTTTACGAATGATGCTCGAATTTAAAGATTGAGCATTTTTCACAGCTTCGAGAATTTTTTCTTTGCCTTTTATAATTGTTCTGACCGACAATTCCGGTAGATCAAACTTCTTTGCCAATTCACAAATTTTCATTTTTGTATCGAAGTCTTTAATAATGGGTATGTTCGAAAAGTCTAACGAAATAGGAATAACGATGACGTCATTCTCGTTTGACGTTACGAACATACCCAATGTTAACTTTACATTCCAAAGATAAAATTTTTCTTTTCTTGTTTGATGTAGAATAATTAGTTCTACTTCGTTTGGATGACATAGTAGAGTCTCTCAAGTCTCCGTAGATATAACAAACACAGAAATAAATAACACAAAATAAATTGTAGCTATGTGTCGATTCCGCGAACATGTAAGCTGAACAATAGTTTTGGGGAGTGAGTAATCAAGGGTTGCGTGGCGCTCAAACAAAAGACGAATCGACGAGATTTGAAAATCGCGTAACTTCGGGTTCGCGTAAGTCGGGGTATTGCTGTATATCATTTTATCCATTGTCTACGAATACAAGTTTTCCCACATCAGTAGACGACATAAAACCCCATACATCACACTAAAACACCCACGTTTTACATTCTTTTTGAGCAGTTCTGTTGGGTTTTCTCCAAAGTAAATTTTTTCCATTAGGAATTAAAGTGAATTTACTTTCATCTGAAAACAACACTTTAGACCAAAATGAAAGCAAGCATTCTCTTTCGATTCATTTTACTTATATATGGCTTTCTTCTGGTTACTCTCGCTCTAACCAGCACGATGGAGGACAGTTTTCGGATAAACTCAACTTGTTGAAATCTTCCTTTATCATTATTGTAACTTCAGTTGAAGATATTTTTAGCAGCTTCTTGACTGAAAACCTGTTCTCTGGGAGTGAGAAAGCTTCCGTGGGCTTATCTTATTTTCCAAGCTGCGAGTAATTTAATAAGCTTAATTAATTTCTTACAGTAAACCTACTCTATTTTCCCAATATGACTTAAGACTACACAAATGCAAAATGATTTTTCTTTCTTCTATTGATCAGTACCTCTATTTTGGTAACAAGAACTAGATTGAAATAATTTTTATATCTGATAAGGTTAAAAGGAACATTGGATTTCATATAAAACACCATACTGGGCATAAAAATGACACGGATAAAACTAATTTGCTTAAGTATCACCAGTGTGCCAGTACCTTTGTCCGTTCAAATCATGTATGTAAATATACTAAATTCATTTCCTTTTTTGTCTACTTTGAACTTTATCTATTAATAGGACTTATTACACTGATGTAGTTTCCGTTTAGCAAATAGAGGAGATCTTATTCAAAAATTAAAAAAAAAGTATATAAAGGGTTATTTTTTATCTTGAGACATTGAAATAACTTAATTAATTGGATCTCATTACTTTGGAAAAAGGTATAGACAAAAGTTGTAGGGTATCGAGGGGCCAATGAATTGGTGCCTCAGGTGTGACCTTGATCTTCAAGGTCATTTGGAGGTCAAGTCCTTTTTTTCAATAGGAACACACATTTTTGACCCCGGAAATGGAAAAAGCAGGAAATTTCACAACCGGACGTACCTTTGACCTTACTGCCTAGGTCAAAGGTCAAGATTATTTTAAGGTTAAAATTATAAGCCTTTTCTAATGGGAAACCATACTTTTTATTACTGGAATAGGCAGGGAGGTAAAAGTTAATTTTTTCATGACCTTACTACTTTGAACTTTAAAAGCATTCACTACTTTTCGCACTACCAAGGAGTAACGATGTGGATGTAGTTGTTTTCTGCTTCCTTTAAGGAGCTTATTTTCAGTGAATCTCCTTCCCTCCCACTATTTTGGTGCTTGTTTTCGGTGAGTCACTAATTCTTACCATTGTTTGAAATGTTGGTTTTGGAGAAAAATTTTATAACATGTTCAAAATGATGTCCTTCCACTTTAATGCATTTATTGAGCCGCACTTACAATTATCACGCTTGAGATGACCTTCAGAGGTCAAATTTGAGGTACTCAAGGTCATGGCTGATTGTAAAATTTCCCTTTGTTTCCATGTAAATGTAACTTTTACCTCCCTGCCTATTCCAGTAATAAAAAGTATGGTTTCCTATTAGAAAAAGCTTATAATTTTAACCTTAAAATAATCTTGACCTTTGACCTAAACATTAAGGTCAAAGGTACATCCAATTGTGAAATTTCCTACTCTTTCCATTTCTGGGGTCAAAAATGTGTGTTCCCATTGAAAAAAGGACTTGAAATAACTTAATTGGATCTCATTACTTTGGAAAAAGGTAGTCCTTTTTCCAAAGCAATGAGATCCAATTAAGTTATTTCAATGTCACAAGATAAAAAATACACCCTTATATATATATATTTTTTTCACCTGGCTTCTCTATTTGCTAAACGGAAACTACACAAGCGCCGTAAGTCCTACTAATAGACAAAGTTAAGATAAAAAACAAAAATCAAAAAAGGACATAGAAAGCATTCTATGCAATTCTTTTTCCCTGTAAGTTTTCAAAGCCAAAAATACGAATTATTTTTTAATGGTATGCGACGAATAACATTAATTATTACGTGACAATTTCAGAGCTACAAGTTATTAAATTTATACAAGAAAATTTAAGAAGTGGCTGTGTTCCAATACTTTTGTCCATCGCTGTATTTGTACTGACGAACACTGCGGTATAGTTCAAATTTGTTTACGCATGTCCTCTACCCTGTGTTATCTTCAAACATTTAGTCATTGTTTTCCAGACGTGCCACACTCCACACGTTTCATTTAGTCAATCGTACGAAAAACTCCAATGTAACAATGCGTAGCCATACCACGCCTGGTTTCTGCACAGGGTTTTTAGCACTTGTCCACATTCCAATTCGCCAATCATCACAGAATAATTAGAAATTTTCTGCTACTTTCCGGATTACTGAACTTTTATTACAAGCGTCAAAATTTACGCTTTGCATTTTCTTTATACATTTTATAGTTTTATATGAAATCATCCGTTTACGATTGCTACAATTTGTGAACCACGTTGTATAAGCTTTGTTATACAAGGGTTACCTGTATTTGCACTCTTACATTTCCATACAAATAAACTAATCTTAGTCGGTCGAATAACGAAATGAAAATACCAACAGTAAAATCATGCACTACATAATTCGTTTTCCTCTCCAATGTAACTTTTCAATCACACGTGAAATTTAAACTTTTAATCTTTTGGCTTCTATATTTAAATAATTCAATACTATTAAAATGTCAATGAATTTTCAAAATGAAGCAGTTATCGTTAAGACAACAGCTCAATCTCAACCTTCGATTTTAATGTCTGCATATAAGTTTCATAATTGCTATACTGCATTCAATATTGGCCAATTCTCATCTAAATTTCAAAAATGCCACTTTATTTGAAGTTCACAAAGCACAAAAGTTTTATGCAAGTACTATATATCTACAGTAATTTTTACTGACATTAGGATTTGTGAATATCCTTTAAAAATGCTGTAAAGACAAATACAATTTAAAGGGAAAAACAAATTAATTTGATTTTTGTAATTATGTTTTAATTGTTCATATCACAAAATAAAAAAGCAATTTCTATAAATAAATGTTACTTTACTACAATATTAATCCTTAAGAATTAATTTACTCCATTGAACAAAAAGATAACAAACTGACATAATAATCTTAGCAACAAATTTAATTAATATAATGACAGCATTTTTTCTAAATCTACAATTTTTGCACCTTTCAAGTTCATGCTTTCATCAAAAATATAAAGTTTTATAAAATTTTTAATTTGATTTTATTTTTATCTTTTGCTGCAAGTATATTTGCAGCAAATCATACAGCTCTAAGGAAATTGTATTTAATTCTTTCTTGGAAAAATGGTCAAAATGCAAGTGCTTTATGGACTTGTAAATCAATGTAGTATGTAGAATTATTTCAAATAAATTTTCCAGACAATTTGGACAATTTTTAATATTATTCTGTTACATGAACATTATACAAAGTAATTTATGTCCATTCATCCATCCCTTGTACCTGTAAGCTGTCACAACCTCTGCACATTTAGTCCTGCAACACCAGAGGAACAATAAAAGAAACCCAGCAAAACTATCCTAATGGATTACTACTAAAAAGTATAAGCAAAGTAACTTGTTGACACCTTTAATAAAGAAAATAAACAAGGCAAAGATGAGAAAGGTTTAACAACCCAACAGTTGTTGATAATCATACATTTTCGGTATGATTTAAAAAAAATCTGGAAGCAGCGAGAAATAGTTATGATCATTTAACGTTGACATCCTTCACACTACAGAGGCTGTACCACAGTTCACAGTAGAACATGTATGCATAGTTCATACAGGTCTTTTCCAAGCTCCAATTTGGGTAGACATTATCTTCCCAAAAACATGCACAAATAGTTCACCAGTAAGTTATTATTCAAACATTTTCTACTCCCAAGTATACAGGTCTGTCTGTGTGTTGGGATTTCCCATTTGGGAAAGAAAATCTGAATGTTGAAATAACATACATGTACAAAAAAATTTGATATTAGATTAAATCTGCCACGTTCATTGGCATTTCTTCAATTTGAGTGTTATAGAACTGTTCAATGTCTCGAAGGGTTCGCTTATCATCCTCTGTTACGAAATTAATGGCTACACCTTTACGGCCAAAACGACCTCCACGACCAATCCTGAAATAAATTTTTAAAAAAATAAAATAAAATTTGCAGAACAACCTAGCATCAAAAAATTTAATTTTCATCATAAATGTTATTTTTAAAATTGGAAATCTGAAGTTTTCTAATTTAGAAAAAAAGTATGAGTTTAAGAAAACATGAAATAAAACATTTAATACTTAACTGCTTTGTCACAACGTATTGAAAATGCTGTTATGCAATAATCCTTTGATAACAAGGATAAAATGTTTATTTAATTAACAAATTATTAATTTAAAAATTTTACACTTGAATTTATACATATTTGATGACAACATGCATTTAAAAAAATAATTGTTTAATTAATAAATATCTTAACATAAGATTAAATTAATAATACAGTAGAGCATCGGTTATCCAAATCAATTGGGGACTGGGGTTGTTCGGATAACTTATTTTTCGGATAACCGATTATGTACGAAAAAATATATTAACCTATCCCGCGTTGAAATTTTGTACTAACGTAAACTTTTTAAAATAATAATCGTGGCTATTGTATTGTTAAAAATTATTTCTTTATTTTTTACAAACAAAATAAATATATTGAAAAATATAAAAACCAAAAAAAATATACTTTAGAAGTTGATCTAGTATCAAAAACGTTCGATTCAGCACCACACACAGTCCTCAGAAAAACACCACACAAAAGTGCCAGTGCT